AAGAAAATAAATCAATTAGGAATCTAATCACTTGATATTATGGAAAGTAAATTTTGCTTAAGGCGGATCTCTAGCTCAGGATATAATTTGGATGTGGATAAACAAGTGATTTTTTTTTTTTTTTATAATTTTTTTGCTTAGGTGTACTGTTAGCCTGTAAAGTACAAAGAGTGAAGAAATTATAAATTTGATGATGTGGAGGTAGGATCCACTTTTAAAAGTGATCTGGGATAGTATTTTATGCATAAGGATAACCTAAAGACTAGATTTATTCGTGAAAATGGTGCCATTGTAAGAGCATCCACATTAGTTGGGGAGATTTGGGAGATAATGTAAGAGTGATTAGGAAAGAGAATGTGGGAGGGGATAGAAAAAAAAGAAAAAAAAATAACAAAACAAAATTTGAAAAAAAATAATAATAAAAATCTGTCGCGTCAGGCGCGCTGACAGCGCGCCTGACGCGCTACACGGGCGCGTGCATTGCACGCGTCCGTGTAGACAATGGCTGTGCGCAAACGCGCACAGGTAGTGTTTGTTTGTTTTTTGTTTTTTTTTTTTTGTTTTTTTTTTTCTTTTCTGACATTAACCCTTAACTTGCAGGACAAATATCTCCCCAAATAACCCCACCCCACATTTGTTATTATCCCCACCCAAGATAGTTCATCTGACATTATCTCCCTAATATCCACTGATGTGGATGCTCTAAGCTGACATAGAACCTTAGGATACCCTCATCTTTAAAATTTTGCTTCTTTCAAAGTGATTATTAATTAAAATTTTCTTTCAAGATTAGCAATGATTGCAAGTCTTTAAAATTGTGGCAAAAGTACAATGCATTAGAGCATCCACACTAGTGGTGCGTCAGGCGCACCTGACAGCATTAATTTAAAAAAAAAAATCAATTTTCTCTATTTTTTTTTCTCTCCCCTCCCCCATTCTCTTTCCTAATCACTCTTACATTATCCCCACATTCTTCCCAACTAATGTGGATGCTCTTAGAGCATCCACATTAGTTGGGGAGATTTGAGAGATAATGTAAGAGTGATTAGGAAAGAGAATGTGGGAGGGGAGAGAAAAAAAAGAAAAAGAAATAACAAAACAAAAATTGAAAAAAAAAATAAAAAATAAAAATCTGCCGCACGCGCTACACGGGCGCGTGCAATGTGTAGACATTGGCTGTGTGCAAACGCGCACAGCCAGTGTTTTTTTTTTTTTTTTTTTTTTTTTTTTTTTTTTTTTTTTATGACATTATCCTTGAACTTGCAGGACAAATATTTTCACCAATAACCCCACCCCACATTTGTTATTATCCCCACCCAAGATAATTCATCTGAAATTATCTCCATAATATCCACTGATGTGGATGCTCTTAAATAAGAGAGTGAGAGGGTTTTTGTTACCCTTTTTTAAAATCCTTTTTAATTGATTTAAATATTATTATTATTATTATTATTATTATTATTATTATTATTATTATTATTATTATTATTATTATTATTATTATTATTATTAAAATATAGTAATTTTTAAATGTGATGTGTAACGTGGTCTCATTTTTGAAAGTGTGCTAAAATTGCAAGAATGTAGAAAAAATAGTGAATGAACTACAAATTAAATATGATGATTTAAATGTAGGATCCACTTTTGAGAGAGAGAGTATTACAAGGATAATTTTTTTTTTTTTTTTTTTTTTTTTTTTTTTTTTTTTTTAATGGTGACATGGGTTGCAAGCTTGCAAGTTGTAACCCAATTTTATCCATACAAAAGGAAAGTCAAAGAATTTTAGGGAGAAAGATAGCCTAAGTGGTTGATAGGCTCGACCGAGACAGTGTGTAGACAAAATTAGAACTCGTGACCTCCAAATCCCCTATATTTGATGAGTACTACTGAAGCACAAAAAGTTAATATCACCCTTACTAGGGCTCAAACCCATATCCTTCCAATTGAAAGAGTCACTTCGTGCCACTAGATCACAAGGTCATTGGCAAGTTGTTATTGATTAATAAAAGTGTTGTTATAAACTTTCAATTTGAGAGTGTATAACATATTTTAAAATTTTCATGATATAGAACTTATTTCAAAGCATTTTTTTTAGTAAAGGGGATTTGCACGACACGAATTTAATTCTTGTCAACATCTTCATGGTCTAGTCCGTTGCATGAGTATTCTTAGTGTTATTTACTTCTCATATATGTAATTTGTAAGTTATTATACAAAAATAAAATTTATTCAATGCATATCATCGGGTAATGACTATGCGAAGTTTGCATGCAAGATTGACTAAGTGAACAAGGAACAACAAGAAAATTACCATGAACATCACATCCCTCAAAACACCACTCCCATGCATGCAGTAATGGAAGGTACAATTATACAAAGACAGCTCCACATATATTGGGTTTAATCATTACAAGATTTTGATGGATGATAAAAATTTAATTGAGAAAATCATTGGTTAGTTTATCTTACGATACACGCGTTAATTGCTACGTATATACATGGTCGGTTATTTTTTTTTTTTATTTTATTTATGTGGCGCCGTTCTTATAAATAAATGAGGTCCTATTAAAAGTATAAAGGCAATTTTTAAAACAAATACTGTAAAATATATAATTTTTATATTTCAAATAAGTATGAACGGTGTAACACCAGCTTAATGCAAATATCACAATTCCTACCGTAAAATATATGATTTTTTTTCAAATAAGTATGAACGGTATAAATAATATTAGGTGATCTCTAAAAATTGAGGCACTGTGCTATTGTTCATCTTGCCCGTCCCAAAATCCGGCCATGCATATATATTCTTATAATAATTCACTAGTAACTAACTCAAGACTGAAATTAAACATGAATAATGTGGCGTATAGTAGTTCCGATTGAAACAGATCGAGACCATTAATGATGAAATAATGGTTCCGATTGAAACCAGATCGAGGACATGTAATATGAAGACATCTATGATCTATCCCATAACAATAATATTTGTATGGACCTGTTTAAAGTTTTGAATGCAAACAATTAAATTAGGTATCATACACAGGTTTGAGGTTTAGCATTTTGCAATTCCACTTCAATCATCACTGAGATTTCTGACAACCGTAACAGTTGGATTACAGAAGTTGACCTCATATGTAACTTATAACTACTCGTATGTCGTCCAACAACGTAACTGATTATGTTTAATTTCGTGGACATTAATGTTGTTAATCTAATCCCATTCTACTTGTAATGTCAATCACAATCCAGGCATGGTCCTCCCATCTAATGGACCACTACTGGATTATATAACGCGATTTTTTCATTCCACTATTATGTTAATTAAACTCCCGAGAAGCGAGAAAATTTCACATTTTGTGGGCAAAATCACAATAAAGGGATCCCAAAAGGGGTGGATCCGAGTTGTTGAAACATGATTCTCGTATAAAAAATGTACAAATTCAATTCTTGCCAACATCCTTTCGGTCGAGCACTCGGGCCTGTCGCTCAGGATCTTCCTAGTGCGGTTTACCTCTTTTGTGTGGTTTGCAAACTATTACATATGAACAGAATTACCCATAGCACATGCTTCCTGGTGTGGTTTACCTCTCCTGTTTGGATTGCAAGAGTAAGATTTACTCGTACATACTTTCAAATAGTACACTGAAGACTAGCTTTTTTTTTGTCACTCAAAAAATCACAATAAAGGGTCATCCGACTCGTGTTAAAATGCCCATCCCCTCTTCATTATATTGCATGGAGAACACATCCCACAAGATAAGGTATTATGATATCTTGTGAAAGCTGGCAAACATTACATCTCAAACTATATAATGGAGGCCCCAAAACCCTTTTAATAGTATATCATTCATATGAAGGTGTCCTTGGACTGATGTGTTTGGTGGGTTTAACAAATACTATGCTTAGTGTTTGTTCACACTTAACTATATTCAATAATATATACCACTTTATGGTTTGACCAACCCGACAATTTTTAAGTACTCACGTGATAGAGAATTGAAAGCTTAGGTTATCAATATAAACTTAGTTAATAGTTGGGTATAAGATAATTAATATCTCTTTCTAAAATTGTTTTCGGTGGAAATTGATCTTTCTGACCTGATGCTAGACTTAGGGCGAAACTTTGAGGAAGCTAAGATAAACGTAAGAATAACGTTCAATATATATATATATATATATATATATATATATATATATATATATATATATATATATATAGGGTTGCATTCAAATACAAACCCCCTTAAAATATAAACTTGAATTTATGCACACCTTTCGTGAAAGAAAGTGATCCTCCCTCTAAAATAAGTAATTTAGTCTTTCTTCAGTCATTGATAGAGAGGAATGCCCTAGGGTCTTTCTTAGAGAAGGAGCTATCATAGGTAAGAATGAAGCCAGAAGGGCTTTTTTCGACAAGAATATAGGCTGTTGAAAGCTCTCTCTGTTGGCTCTTACTCTTAGCCTTTCCTGCTTTACTGCTTGGAGGAAGAGAATCAGCTGTTACAGACCCGGCTGTGAAAGAAGGCAAGTTTACTGACTTTGATTCTTTCTGGTGCTGCGTTGCTTAAAACTAGGGTTTGTCAGGGTAAGGATTGCTTTCAAAGGTAATGGACGGTCAAGATGGCTGACGGGAAGCAAACCAGGGACCCTAGACCACCAGGAAGGGATATTGACCGAAGGGGAAAGTTCTAAAATAAGTAAAAAAATATCTATTTTTAACCAGAAGATAGAGACAGAGAAGGTTACGAGTGCAATCGCTTATGCGATTGGGGACAGAGGTTAGGGTGTGTAGGGGAAGGCAGGGTTGTTTAGAGAAATTCTTCCAATAGCGAGGATATAAAAATTCTCTCTCTAAGTTTTGCTAGGGTTTTGCTTCCTCTCCTAGGTTTTTGCTAGTTTTCCAAGCTTTTTCCGGCAGCTTTACCCGGTTTTCGCTAAGACGAGTGGTGCTACGGACGACACACACAGCTGTGTGGCTCGGCTTGAAGTCGGAGGACACCATGGTGAACGAAGATGCTGCAGACGCTACTGACCGTATTGCTGTTTTGACGAAGCGCTGGGCGGAAATAGCCATCGAGGAGGAAGAGGCGAATTTCGCACCGGTTGAGAAGGAGGTGGAGGAAGGTGCTGAACCACCGGTGCGAACTTGGACCTTGGTGGGCAGATTTTTAACGGCTAAGCTGGTGAAACTGGAGTATATGAGGCAAGTCTTGTCTTCGGTTTGGCAACCGGTGATGGGGGTAACGGTGACGGAGATTCAGAAGGGGCTCTTTCTATTCTTTTTCTTCCATGAAACGGATGTTCAATATGTTCTGAATGGAGGGCCATGGGCGTTTGAGAACAGTACCCTGGTATGTTGTTTGGTTGGAGATGGAGTTTTGCCGGTTGATGTGGCCCTAGATTCGGTTGACATGTGGGTGCAACTACATGATTTACCCATGGGCTATACGACACAACCAATCCTTGAGCAGATTGGTAACTTTATTGGTACCTTTGTTAAGTATGATGAGAGGTTTGTGGGGGCGCCTTGGCTATCGTTTTACCGTATAAGGGTGTCGATCCCAGTGAACAAACCGTTGCGAAGCCGTATGAAACTGTTGAAGCGTGACAAGACCACGTGCTGGGTCAACTTCAGGTATGAGCGTTTGCATACTTTTTGCTTCTTCTGTGATTTGTTGGGGCACTCGTATAAATTCTGTGTGAGGGCTTGGGTCTCTACGGTTCCGATTGAACAATACCCGTATGGTGCGGAGATGAGGGTGGGGGGTGGTCGGGGTCCGAGGGAGGTGGGGGAGAATTGGTTGGTTTCGGTGGGTGGAAGGCCGAGGGTTATGGAGGGGGTGGTTGCGGCAACGGGGAACTGAAACAGTGGTGGGATGGGTGAGGAGGGAGTCTTGGTGGTCTCGGGTGGTGGGAAGGTGGCCGAACCGGTTGTGGAGGCGGTGGCTAAAAGGAGGAGGGAGGGGGGGGGGGGGTATGAGGGCGGTAGGAGGGGTGAGGGGGAGGATACTACTATGGCAGATGTGTCAAAAAACATGTTTATGGCGGGAGCTGTTGGGCAGTCCCGCCCATCATTATGAGTACGTTAGCTTGGAACTGCCGTGGCTTGGGTAATCCACGGACAGTTCAGGAGGTGGTGGACATGGTGTCCCGTAAGCAACCCGACTTTGTATTTCTGATGGAAACTAAGGTAGGACGCGATCACGCTGAGCGTCTCCGGATCAAGATTGGCTTTGAGGGATTGTTTTATGTTGATAGCAGTGGTTTCAGAGGATTAAGTGGTGGTTTAGCGTTGTTCTGGAGGAAGAATAATACGGCAAGACTCCTCAGTTACTCAAAAAACTATGTTGATATTGAGGTAACTATAGTCGGTTTCCCGATGTGGCGTATGACGTGTTATTATGGTTTTCCGGAACGAACCAGGCGTACTGAGTCATGGGACCTTCTGAGGGCATTATCAGCTAGATCCGGCCTTCCATGGATCGTAGTGGGGGACTTCAATGATTTATTATTCCAGTATGAGAAAAGAGGGGGAAATCCACATCCGAATAGCCTTCTTCGCGGATTTGGGGATACTATTGGGGATTGTGGTTTGACTCAGATGCCTATGGATGGCTACCCGTACACATGGGAGAAGGGGAAGGGAACAATTGATTGGATTGAGGAGAGACTTGATAAGGTCTTGGCAACAGATGAGTGGCGGAATATGGTGACAATGGCCAGGGTGGTGAACTTGAGAACCCAAAAATCTGATCATTCGGCTATCTTTCTGGGTATCCATGAACCCTTAGGGACGAATGGGACGAGAAGGAGGGGATTCCGGTTTGAGACTGCATGGTTATATGAGGAGGGGTGTAGAGGGGTAGTGGAGCAGTCGTGGCAGGAAGGAAGGGGTCAGGGTCTGCAGCACTGTATTGAATACTGTGGTAGGCGATTAACACGATGGGGTGGGGATCGGCACCATAAGTATGGTAAGCAGATTATTGATCTTAAGAAGAAACAGCAACGCCTAAGGGGATGCACTGACCCGGCATCACTTGCTGAGTTTCAATCCCTGGAACAACTTTTATGCCGTACTGAAGCCCAGGAGGATGCCTACTGGAGGCAGAGAGCCAAGCAACACTGGCTCAGGGAGGCCGATGCCAATACCAAGTTCTTTCACAGGTACGCCTCTCATCGTAAAAAGAAGAATACTATTGTTAGACTAATGAATGATAATGGGGATTGGGTGGAAGGGGAGCCTATGAATAATGTTATTCTGGAATATTTCAATCGTATTTTCTGCTCTGAAAGTCCGGGATCTGGGGAGAGTTTTTTCAAGGGAATTGTCCCGCGGGTCACTCAGGCACATAATGAGTTGTTATTACGACCATTTGAATTCGATGAGGTTAAATCGGCCCTGTTTGCGATGTTTCCTGATAAGGCACCGGGCCCGGATGGAATGAACCCGGGATTCTATCAGCATTTTTTGGGATGTGGTAGGGGGGATGTTGCGAGTTTTGTAGTGGGTTGTCTTGATTCACGCAACCTACCACTTAGCTTAAACAGTACGGATATTATTTTGATCCCAAAGAAAAAGACCCTTGAGCGAGTAATTGACTTGCGTCCTATAGCCCTCAGTAATGTGATCTATAGGATTATGGCAAAGATGATAACGAATAGAATGAAGCCGCTAATGGAAGGAATAATATTGGAATCGCAGAGTGCCTTTATTCCGGATAGGCTTATAACTGATAATATTCTGGTAGCAGCGGAAGTGGGTCATTTTTTGAACAGGAAGCAGTGTGGCATGGTGGGGTGGAGTGCTTTGAAGCTTGATATGGCAAAAGCCTATGACCGGATATAGTGGCCTTTCCTGAAAAAAATGATGCTGGCTTTGGGTTTTGATGTTCGATGGGTGCAGTTAATCATGAAATGTGTATCTACAGTCTCGTATAATTTATTGATGAATGGCGCTAGAAGTGACCCTATTATACCCACATGTGGTTTAAGGCAGGGGGACCCATTATCTCCATATCTTTTTATTATTTGTGCAGAAGGCCTTTCTCTGTTATTACAGCAGGCTCACAGGGGTTTGATCCATGGATGCAGAGTGGCAAGAGGTGCTCCCCCAATCTCTCATTTGTTTTTCGCTGATAATAGCCTTCTGTTTTTTAAAGCTAATGTTGAAGAGGCCAGTGAGATTAAGAGGTGTCTATCGGTCTATGAGGATTTATCTGGGCAAGTGGTTAATTACCACAAGTCAAGCATATGTTATAGTAGGAACACGAATAACGCTAACAAGGAAGTTGTGGCATAGGTTCTGGGAGTTGACCAAGCTCCTAATTTTGGCAAGTATTTGGGACTCCCCTCATTTGTAGGGAGAAACAAAAAGGCAGCTTTTGCGTATATAGAGGATAAAATCCGGCAAAGAATTGGGTCATGGAATAAGAGGTTATTATCGCAGGCAGGTAAGGAAATTTTATTGAAAAGTGTAGCACAATCCATGCCTACCTTTTCAATGAGTGTCTTCCTGCTGCCAACTTCTGTGTGTACAGCGATTGAGAGGACAATGAATCGGTACTGGTGGGACTCGGGAACTGATAGACAAATACATTGGAAGGCTTGGGACAAACTGTGTGTTCGTAAGAAATTTGGGGGTTTGGGATTCAAGGATTTGCGTGCTTTTAATCTGGCTATGTTGGGAAAACAGGCATGACGAATGCTTACTAAGCCTGAGTCCCTGGTGGCGCGCATATATAAAGCACGATATTATGCCAAAGGCTCATTTTTTGATGCACAAGTGGGAAATAATCCTAGTTTCTGTTGGCGGAGTATTATGGCAACAAAGAGTATAATTTGTGGTGGGATAAGGCGTAGGATTGGAAATGGGGAATCTACACTAATATGGACCCACCCCTGGTTACAGGACGACCAAGACCCTATGGTACAAACGGAGATGCCAGTACAGTTACAGGATGCCAAAGTGGTGGGATTGATTGATCAGCAAACTCGGACATGGGATCTTTCGATTTTAACTGATCTTTTTCATCCTGGTGATGTGGCGAATATTCTAAAAATACCAGTTTCTCCAGATTATGATGACACTTGGTATTGGCCTGGGGACCCGAGAGGAGTTTATTCTGTGAAAGACGGTTACAGATTAATAGTTGGTAATTATGGGAATGAGAGTGGGACCTTTACAAAATGGTTAGCCTTGTGGAAACTCAAAATCCCCCCAAAATGGAGAATGTTCCTATGGAGAGCCATTTGTGATATACTGCCTACCACCTCTAACTTGCTTATAAAGAGGGTTGAAGTGAACCCATATTGTGCCATGTGTGGAATATCTCAAGAGGACACTATGCATGCCTTGGTGTTATGTGAACTTGCAAAGAACATTTGGGACCGATCCAACCTTCCAATCCCCAATATTATGACGAATGTTTTTCATATTTGGTTTGGTGAACTCCTAAATATTTTAGATTTTGATGGGATGTTATATGCAGCATCAATCCTCTATAATATTTGGAGAGCACGAAACAGGGCGGTTTGGAATGCGCTATTACCACGACCACAAGCCTTGCTGGCAGCCGCGACCATGGCAATGCATGCATGGAAACACGCAAATCCGCCGGTAGCTCAAAGCCACGCAGCACTGCCGCCTACGCAATCTCCTCATCTTGGCGGTCAGGCGCCGTTCGGGCTCACAATGCTGTACAGGAGGAGCCATCAAGGAGGCTTTGTCGAATCGATGCTGGGTTTATGCAAAATACGGGCAAGGCTACGGTTGGGGCAATCCTCTTAGACATGAATGGAGGCTATGTCTCGGCCTTCAGTGCACCACTCCCGGATTGTTTTTCACCTCTTATGGCCGAGGCATTGGCATGCAAGGAGGCCTTGTCATGGTTAAAGGACCGAGGGGAGCAGAACATCGAGATATATACAGATTGTTTAATGCTACAACGTTATCTTACTACATCACCTATTACGTTTCGCACTTACGACAGCTATGCCATTGATGCATGCAGAGCAGTTACAGCTTATTTTCAGTTTTGTTCTTTCCACTTTATTTCTAGACTAGACAATTTTATAGCTCATGCTTTAGCTACTTCAGCATATCAGCAATCGGTTGCTATGTACTGGGTCTTCTCCCACCTGACATTATTTCGGCATATTTTGAATAAAGCGCCACATATATTTTTTAAAAAAAAAAACATACTTACATGCACACAGGGCGCACTGTCAACAATTTCTGGAATTAGCTCATGCACAAATTAACATACTTATATGCACACAGCGCGTAGGAGGAAAAATCACAACCATCAATCAAAACTCGTGCACACATTAACATACTTACATGCACACAGCGTGTAGGAGGAAAAAATCACAACCATCCTCAAAGCTTGTACACACATTAACATACTTACATGCACACAGTTTGTATTTTAAGGAGGATTTGTATTTGAAAATAATCTTATATATATATATATATATATATATATATATATATATGAATGATAGTTTTGCATGGTTGTTGTGTATCATTTGTAGTGTAGGCTTGCACTGCGGAATGAACTAGACAAATGGAATATCAGTTGTTTGGTCCTTAAATTAAACCAATGTGGATCGGAATCATTCCCTTTGATGGGTTCATCCACCCATGTGCACAACCTAAGATATAGTAAACAACTTTAGCAACACAACATCATGGCTCCTCTGCTAACATCAATTTCAAGTTTTAGGTGCCTCATTAGTCATCATCTCCTGGATTAGAGCAAGGGCAACTGGTAGGCATATATGCATGTGTTCTAGCTAGCTAAACAAGCAATGAAGGACAGATGGTCATGTGAACAAGAGACCCTACTGTTTGCAGTAATTAGTAGATCAAATAATGGTCTGATGGTAACATAGTTAGCTTATCAGACAATTTTGGTTTGTTTGATTACTATTAGTTGTTTGACTTAGTTAAACAGTCTGAGTATTTGATTAATTAGTTTATTTTTTAACAACTTATTGCTCCAAAATATATTTTCGATAAGCTTTTGAAGAAAGTCATTTTGCATGTAATCAGCTATCAGGTAACAACTAATTTACTAAACATTTTTCTACAATCAGCTAATACTATCAACTAGTTAAACCTACTAACACAATCAGCTAACAGCTATTTATCAAACAGTCCCAATATCAGTTCCCTCCTTGGCCTCTTCACCTCCCTCGACTCATTTTGGGACCCTAGATAGGCCATATACATTATCCCCTTGATCTGTATGCTCCCCACTATCGTTTTCTCTGTTGGATCCCACCTATCAAATTAAAAATTATGTTTATCATCTGTTTCTTCCCTTTATTATCTATCTCTCCCAGCCCGTGCCCCTCGTTCCTCCCCCTGGCCTTCATCCAATTAAGTGACTAAGGCTTGGGTGAGCACCTTTTCCCTCTACTTCCAAACATTCTCCCCTACAAGTTCTCTAAAGTTCTTGTAATTTGGTGCACACAACACGACCTACTTCAGGTAAGAATTGCATCATACACCTTGCAACTTGTGACGAAAAAGTTTGCAAGTGCTAATAGAATGTGAGCTTTACATGAACCTCGTCTTGGGACTCTAGCTAACTGTCAAATGGCCACAAGCTAAAGAACTAAATCAACCTAGATTTTTTAGTCGGATCGGATCAAACCAAGAATGTCAATTAGACAGCTCTATTGATGAGTCAAACTTGAAACTTTATTGTAGTTACCAAACTAATTGTCAAACCAATTCTATGGAGAAGTCAGTCATTCTGACCCATTGGGTAAGAGAGTTATGGTTTTCTTACTTATTACATGGGAATATGTCCTATATTTATAGGTAGCAATCCACTTTAGTCATTTTTTTTTTTAGAACATCTTCTTTAGTCCGGGTTGACCATTTTTGGCCCCATCAACAAAATTATTGAAGTTTGTAAAATATAAGCTAAGCGTATTTAGGTCTTCAATTATAATTTTTTTTCAAGAAAATAATAAAAATAAAAATATGGCGGGTCAACCCACTTTGTATATATATATATATATATATATATATATATATATATATATATATATATATATATATAAAGATCAAAATATTCTTGTATTTAATGATATTTAAACGATTTTGTTGACGGAGGACCAAAGGGGATGTTCTGAAAAAAGAAGAACCAACAGTGGACTGTCACATATAAATCTAGGATAAAAATGGAAATTATGCTGTGCAACTGTGTGCACCATGCATGGTGCACACGAAATGGATCCATAATTTCTATACTATAGATTCATAATTTCTATATTATAAATTCATAATTATTGAACTCTATATCCACAATTACAAAACTCTATGTTCATAATTTTCAATGTTCACATTCCCAATTATTGAACTCTGTATTCACAAATCACTGAACTATATGTTCATAATTTGATAACTATACGGTTTAGAAATTATGAATCTACATTATAGAAATTATGAATCTATAGTATAGAAATTATGGATCTATTGTATATAAATTATGGATCCAATTCTGTGTGCACCTTGCATGGTGCACACGGTTGCACAGCATAACGCTCCGGAATTAAGTCTATCCAAAAACAAATGAGAAAAAGTCCTATTATTTTTGGGTGGGGGTGAAACACATAATAATGCTAAGGTCTCTCGATAGAATTTGCCAAAATGTGGAGTGTTTACGTTACTATAGACATTTGTTTTCCATGGGTGGATGTATGTATATAATGCAGTATGTATTTATATGTTTTGGTTTTTACTTGCTAGTGTTGTCAACATCTATCGCATTCTTCTTTTCTTTGGCAAGTTGGCCGATCCTAACATCAGCTCAGGGCCGGAACTTTATGGGGACAAACCGGCGCAGGATGTAATATTGGTCTATTATTATTTTTGGACTATTTAATTTCCTTTATTTAGGTCATGTTAGTATAGTTTTTTTTATTGGGTGTATATGTTTATTTGTTTCAAATATTACAATTATTGTATAGGAAAAAACGTCGTTAATTATTGCACTCGTTTTCGCATTTCACCTTGGAGCGGTGGGAATGGTTTCTCAAAGATCTCAATAGAATTAACTAACATGGTTGGTGTGGTGGTTCAGCACCTCGTCTCTTAAGCATGGGGTTGAGAGTTTGATCTCCACCAATATGAATGGAGCAAACCATTTGGCCAGTCCCCTACCATATAATGCGTTGATTGTTGGGACGGGGCAACCAAAAAAAGATCTCAGAAGAACCCCAGAACTTAATAGTTCTGGTATCTTTTTTCTCTTCACTAGTGAAGTAAATATACCTTAGACAACTTCGAGAACAAATAGAGAGAGATTTAGCCACACGCTTTCATCTCTCCGCTTCTAGTCCATTACCTCGTCAACCAAATTCAATTGATAATAGTTTAGTTTCATTACTCTTATAATCTATAATTTAACTTGTCGATTTCATTAGAGATGACCCAACATGAACTCTAAAAATAATATATAAGTAAATAGTGAAAAATAAATCATCATATCAAGCAATTTTTAAGTGAAAGTTGTAAAGGTAAAAGTCATGGGTCTTTTAAGTGTCAAGTCAAATATCACTATATTTTTGTAATGTTTGTACATGTATACATGGTAGAGAATTCATGCTAAAAAATTTTTTGTAGAGTGTTTGAGGGACTATGACGAATTGAGCTCTAAGATGATCATGTTCATGGTTTTCATGTCCACCTTGGTTGGGTGTCTTTTTATAGTAGAATGGGAGTAACGAGTAATATTCATGGTCATTCGTGGTGGAGTAACAGTCTTCAGAGGCGGACCCAGCATGGGGGCAGCTGCCCCCCTCACCTCACCCCCACCCCCACCCCCTATATAACTTTGTATGTATATATGTATATATAGTACATGTTTTAGTATAAATATAAAAAAACAGATAATGTTACCAAAAGTTGAGTTAGACTAGTTGGCTTAGCTCACATTTGAAGTTGAGAAAGGCGAAGGTTCGAATCCTTATGCTTTCTACACAGTTTTCCCTCATTATTAATAGTGCCATCTTTTCTCACTTTTGAATTATCCTTATGCTTTCAGGTTTTAACACAGTTTTTTCTCATTATTAATAGTGCCATCTTTTTATCACTTTTGAATTATTTTATCACTATTTCTCTATTATTATTATTATTATTATTATTATTATTATTATTATTATTATTATTATTATTATTATTATTATTATATTATTATTATTATTATTATTATTCTTATATTATTATTAGTAGTATTATTAGTGCCGTCTATTTCTTACTTTTGAATTATTTTATCAAATTAATTATATTTTTTTAAAATCAAATTAATTACTACGTATGTTTTATATTTTGTTATAAATATTTTTATAATATTTTGATGTGTTTTATATTTTGCTTATATACAACAATATTTATGGATATACTTCTTAAGTGTTTCATTTTTTTTTCAAATTAGCATTTTTGTTTTTATATTTTGCCCCTACTAACAAAAATTTCTGGGTCCGCCACTGACAGTCTTTGATGACCTTTAATGGTAGGATAATGACACTTTCGAACATCGCAGTGAGCAAACGTCTAGTCTCTATGGTTCCTATATGTTCAGTTGAGTTATCATGATTTACATTCTCCCAAATGTTCTGTCGGATCGGGGTGTGGAGGGCCCTTAGGGTTGGGGTTCAACCTTTTTGGAAGAATGACACTTCCGAACATTTTCTATTTAACTCATAACGTCTTGTAACAATCCTTCGAACATCTAGAAACAATTATACTCTAATTTTGTGGGTTAGACTAGCTACTAACCCGTCTTTCAATTGTTATACCATGGACCATAGTTCATATTGCATTATGAACCCTGATACGAAAATTATGTACCTTCAGTTAACATATTTTGTACTTACAATTAATCATTTTTGTATATGTAAATAAATAACTTGATAATTACTGACACACGATAGTTACATGGACAAAAATTGTAGCCTATAGGTACCGAATATGTCAACTACAAATACAGAATCTCACAGTTATTTTTAGACTGGGTCTACAATACAGAATCTCACACACACACACACACACACACACACACACACACACACACACACACACACACACACACACACATATATA